GCCTGGACAAGGTCCTGTGCAGCCTGCTCTGGGTGACCCTGCTTGGGCAGGGGGTTGAGCTGGGTGACTCCAGAGGGCCCTTCCAACCCCTCCCATTCTGTGATTCTGTGATTGCCTCAAAGAAGAGGAGCACTAGCAGGAGTGCCATGATATTCCAGACGAAGATAGGGGGTTTTATTCAGCTATTGAATTTAAGTTCAGTCAGGGCTCTCTCTTTGTTCCTCCCTCCCTTACCTTCAAGCAGAGCAGCTTCGAAGTGAAGGTGTTCCTGTAACAGTAAATGCTGCTCGTGTGTGGGTTTCCTGCTGCTCTCTTCTGCTTTTTCAGTCATCTCTAGGCAAATTGTGCTGTGTGTGTCACGCCTGTTCTGAGAACAACCCATCCTGTGTTTATCCTTACGGGTTTCCTTTCGATTTTTGTTTTTTATTTGTGTGTCTTCACAGTGGGTTCCGGTCACAAATTGTAACGTAAGTGAAGTATTTATTTTTCAGTCAGTGATCAAAGATCTCTAACCCATTAACAAGTTACTAACTTGGTGCGATTTAGCGGCTTTGAGGCTAGAGCTGAACGAAGCCAACTTTTTAACCCTGTTTAATTTCCACCCAGACAGAATGCTATGGAATCTTGCTATTGGCAATAAAGGACCCAAAAAGAATTTGTTCTTCTTTGTTCCCCAGATGCAAAAAACTGATTTTTATGGTACCTTTGGACATGCTGTGGACCAGAAAGTAGAAAGCTGGGGTCCCTGCCCGAGCTGGGACATACCAGACCTACTTGTCTGTACCCTACGGTACAGACCTTGGTGCAAGAGTCTGAGGGGTCTAAACAGGCAGGGACTGAGTTGGCCACTATGTGACATTGCCTAGGTAGCATCAGAGCAAAACGCTGGCCAGGAGGTGCTGAGGACAACTGGCTTTCATGACAGTGTGCCCAGTGAAGTGCCCTGGAGTGCGTGGAGTGCGGAGGGGCAGGTGTCCAAATGCTGTGGTTCAGGTTACTGCTAGCCATGGTTGTGATATCTGGGGTTTCAGCAAGGGCCCAGCCAAGCCAGGAGTCTTTTTTTTTTTTTTTTTCCTGCTGCACTGCAGTGCTCAAATTTGGGACCTCTTAAAGTTACCTTGTGCAGAAGAAGGGGTTCTCTTGCTTTTAGGGGCTGCAAGCCTCATCCAAAGTCCCCTGAAGCCAGGACAAAGTGCGTGTGGCTTCAACTAGAGTGGCTTCAAATCAGGAGCCCAGCATAAAGGCTGCAGCCTGGTTTGTTTGGAGTTCTCAGCTTTAATGACTTCTGTTCAAAAGCTGAAATTATCGGTTTGGAGACCAAGTTTGGTCCCCAGCCAGCCTATATGCATTACAGCAGGGAAGCTGATACACCTGAGCAGAACTCCTTCATCAAAAGCCTTGCCTGGAAGGTGGGGCAGATGTGCAGAGACCAGATGACATTTGTTATACTCTGCTCCAGCCTCACTTCTTTAATATTTTCTGTGGTTTTATTTTGGGCTGTCTGCCAGGGAAAGGGTACGGCCTTGGTTTGCTTGGGCATGGAATATTTCGTGGTTCCAGATATTTAGCCTAAGGTCTCCTAAACTTTCCATTTATGGAGTCCTTCAAGGAGAAAAAGGATCATGTCAGCCAAGGTTTTTCCTTCTTCATGCTGAACTCACAGTGTCTGTTTTTTCTTTGTCTGCAGGAAATGTGCTCTGAGTGGCCTCCCCAGGACCTGCAAGCACCGCATCATGCTGGGGGATTCTGGAAATTACTACTACATTTCACCATCCTGCAGGGCCAGGGTGAGTCCTTCACCTTCCCGGGGTGCCTTGACCCTCCAAAATTGTTCCAAGCCCTGAGATGGAGGAGCTCTTGGGTCAGCCTTCAAACTGACAGAGACCTGCAGGGCTTGAGTTTGTCCCTGAATTCGAGGTGGTTCTTGGTCGATGAGTAGGGTGCAGGTCTCCAGCCCTGCCTCGTGCTCTGGTGCTCTGCCTTGCGTTCCCTCAGGCAACCTGTCTTCACTGTGTTTGCTTTCCATGATTTGATTCAGTACAGGGCTTTGATTGTTTTGCCTTATTATTATTTTTTAATTCTCCTTTGTAAAACACAGTAATTTTCTGCTCTTTAAATGCTGGCTCTTGTTACTGTTCCGGTACAGATCAGTGACTCAAATGGCTATGAGAACAAGCTGTCCTTTCTCTGGAGGGAAGGGAGAAGGTGAATGATTTGTTAATGTTCCTGCTGGGGCTCTGATTCAATGGAGCATTTCAGAAGTTTGTTCTCCTGAGCTGCGTATCAGAAGAGCTGATCCCACAGACTCTTTCTGGGACAAAAAGTTGGATTTGTGTGTGGACTTAAGCTGAATAATTTTTGTCACTTGTACCAGAGTACTCTAATGTCTCCTGAATGCCCTTCACAGAATCACAGAATGGTCGGGGTTGAAAGGGCCCTCTGTGGGTCACCCAGTCCAACCCCCTGCCCAAGCAGGGTCACCCAGAGCAGGCTGCACAGCACCGCGTCCAGGCAGGTCTTGAATATCTCCAGAGGAGACTCCACAGCCTCCCTGGGCAGCCTGGGCCAGGGCTCCGTCACCCTCAGAGGGAAGAAGTTCTTCCTCCTGTTCAGCTGGAACTTCCTCTGCTTCAGTTTGTGCCTGCTGCCCCTTGTCCTGTCGCTGGGCACCTCTGGAAAGAGTCTGGCCCCGTCCTCCTGACCCCCACCCTGCAGATATTTAGAGGCATTTCTAAGGTCCCCTCTCAGCCTTCTCTTCTTCAGGCTGAACAAGCCCAGCTCCCTCAGCCTCTCCTTGTAGGAGAGATGCTCGAGTCTCCGCATCATCCTCGTAGTCCTCCCCTGGACTCTCTCCAGTAGCTCCTCATCTTTCTTGAACTGGGGAGCCCAGCACTGGACACGGCACTCCAGATGGGGCCTCACCTCCCTGCACACACACCTTCTGCACAAACCTTTAACTCCCAAGATTTTTTATTCAGTTGGAGAACAATGCTCTTTGAAGGAGGATCACAGACTTCGCTGCCACATTAACTAGTGATCACTTCTGTCTTAAATCTGTGGTAGATTTGAGTTCCTGCACGGTGTGTCTCGTGAATCGTGCAGTTTCTTGGGATTGCAGATGCCCAGAATTCTGATCTATTTTTTTTCCCCTCAGCTGTCTTCCTGTCTGTCTGGCGGGGTGTGGTACTGTTTCTCAGGTGCTGAACACCGAGAGCTCTCCTGCTGGGTGCTGCACAAGCCTCGTGACGGGCAAAGCAGTTCCATAGCTGACTCCTCTTTCTCTCTCTCTCCCTCAGATCACAGCGGTGTGCAACTTTTTCACATACATTCGCTATATCCAGCAGGGCTTGGTGAGGCAGGACGGTAAGAGGGGATAGCAGCTGGCTGCGGTGGGGGTGCTGTCTGTGGGGCGCTGGGAGCAATTAAGAGGTCCTGTTCAGCATGACAGGGGTGGGGCCAGCTTGGGGTACCCTGAACTCCCTGTGTCTTTGAGGAACAAAATGGCAAGAGAGAGGCATGAGCAGGAGGAGTAGATGCACCCATTCCTTGCTTATGAGTTTGCTGGGAGCTTTGCCCTTGGCTGCAGCTGGTAAGGGGTGTGACCTGATGGGCTTGTCCTGCTGGACCCTCCAGCGTGTCTGCTTCCCTCGCTTTGGGGACACGCCTGGCTGGGCCGCACTGGGATGACGTGAGGTGGTGTCCAGCTGTGCCTTGCTTACTGATATTTGGTGTTTTTTTTCCTTCTCTTCCCAATTTTACTTTGCAGTGGAGCTGATGTACTGGGAGGTCATGCGGCTCCGGAGGGAGATGTCTCTGGCCAAGCTTGGGTTTTATCCCAGTGAGATGTAAGCAGAGGCCTGAGCATGGAAGGAAACTGCTCCTGTGTGAACGGTGTGGCAAATGTAGCCTGCCAGACGGATGAATGCAGTGCCTCTCCTGCAGTGGGCCTTCCTCCCTCTCCACCCTCCCTCCGCCTGAAGCTGATCAAGGAGCAAGAAGCACAAGTTCCACCTTCAGCTGTCCAGCTTCTCCAACTGTGACTGGAACGCAGCTGCCAAGCTACCCCCTCGGAGCTGGGCTGGCCCTGGCTGCTTGGGGTGGCCGTCTACAGACTCTCCTCTGTGGAGTCTCCTATATGCAGTATATATCCACTTTTTTTTAAACTTCTGTTTTTATATGCAGTCTGCTTTGGCGTAGTCTGAGGCCAGCCCTCTGCAAAGCAGGAGTCCTGGACCTTCTTTGTAAGTCTTTCAGGACAGATGCTGGCTGTCTGTCCAGCTGTTCCACTCATCCTTTGGGGTGGAGGGTGCTGCGTCCAGCCGTACACCTAGGTCCTGCTGACCACCTTTTCCCCTGACGGCCCTGTAGATGCCAGCAGCACACCATAATCTTACCGAGAGCCGTGAACAGCCTGTTTTCTGAGTACTTCCCTGCTCCTGTTAAAGGAGCCTGCAAGAGAATCTTGCTGCCAACTGGGTCACAAAGAGGGATTTGTGTTTGTGCTTGCGATTTGGCACTGGGTAATCCAGGCTGGGGGAACAGCCGGAGCAGAGGCTGGAGCACTGTACCTGGGACCTTCGGCAGAAGAAAGCGAGCGGGGAAATTTCATAACTCGCAGCTGGGCCACAGCTTGGCTGCAGTTGGTGCAGGATGTTTTCTCCTGGTCTAGAGAACCTGCTGCATTTGTCACGGGCAGATGCAGACCTTGACCCTGTGATAATTCTTGGTGCAGAAGTCACCTATGGTGCTCCTAGATACAAACCTCACCCCCAGACAGATGACTCTGAGCTGTTCCTGCTCTCAGGGTAGCTTTGGGCAGTACTGGCCCCACTTTTTAGGTAGAAACCATGGTCCCAGGTGGGGTTCTTCACACCTCCAGAAAGAGCATACCCAGGCTGGGCACAGCCTTGAGACCCAGGGATTTCCTCCCCAAGTACTACATCAGACCCGGAGACGCATGTCCACTGGGAAACCCAGTTTCTTCTGGTCTGCCACCCCCAGTGTGGAAATCTGAGATACCTTTGTGTGCACATGTGAGGGATGTGGCCGTGGTTCCTGTGTGCCTCAGACTGTGCTGGGGTGGATGTTGCTAAAGCTGTTGGAAAGCAGGGGTCCGCTAAAGCTTGAGCTCAGGCCCAGGTTTGTCTGTACAGAACTGTGTTAAAGCCATGACACTGTTTTGTAGCCAATTTAGCCTTATTTTTTTGTGACTCTAGTAGAATCAGCTCAGCTGCCACCCACCGTGGGGTTTTCATCACACGTGGCATTTCTGCACTCTTGACTGGCACGTCGCCCTGTTTCTCTGCTGTCATCCTAACTCCCATCTTAGCCAGTTGGTGCCCAGAACCGGATCACCACCCTCAGCTCCATTAAGTTTCATCCCCTCCTGGGAGATGCTACAGTAGGAACTCTGTACCTTCAGTGGAAGAAAACTAACTGAGCTGCTGTGGTTTTGTCCAGGGGAGGGAGGAAGAGGCAGGGAAGGCCAGAGTTTTGGTTTGGAACCTAATACAAGGACAGCTTCAGAGCAGATCTGAGAGAACCTTCCTGTAGAAGACCCCCGTGAGCACAAGCTTTCCTGTCACAGAGCACGCTCGCGGTACGCTGCAGCGTTGCTCCTCAGCGGACTCACTCCATTCCTTGTAGCTGTACTGGCGTATGGTGGTGTTGAAACACGAGCCGGCATCCCCAGAGCTGGGAGAAGACGTTCCTGACAACACGTACTGGTTTTGAATCCACCCCCTGCAGCTCGGAAAGGGCTGACCTTCCAGTCCGAGCTGCTCCCCACAGCCGAGTACCCCAACTCATGCTGCCCACCCTGGCGAGGTGAGGGCATACATCTGCTGCTCTGCACCGAAGGAATATGTTTTAGATGTGGAGTAAAAGCCTGGAAAATACATCTTTGGGTAAGAGTCTGGCTGGATCTTGAGCTAGTGATAAAGCTGTATCTGTTTTGGTGGTGGCTGCAGACTTTTGGCAACTTGACATCAGCTTTTCTAGAGGAGAAAACAGAAATATCTTTTCCCGGCTGCAGATTTCAGCTCGGGTAAATTCCATCCCTGGCAGTTTCTCCGTGTATCTGTCCCCGCTGACCTTTTGCGCTCTACCTGTCCTGTGCCATTAGGTGCCGCATTGCACAACGGACGTGGCTGCAGTGCGGCACTGGGGATGAGATCGTCTCTCTTATGTAGGAGACGTTTTGGTTTGTGGGACTTCCCCCCCCCTAGTGTCACTTTGTAAAGCACTTTGAGATGAAAGGAAGTAGAGAAACGCATTGTGTGAGGTTGTTTTACATTTAAAACAAAGCAGAACAATTTGTAAATGAATACAAAGTCACTCCGTTAACAGCGGGATGGTCGCACCCTGCTCTTTAATAAAGGAAAACATTTGCTATTAATTTCTTTAAAGGTCTGGTTGTGGTTCTAGGGTTGGGTTGGTTGGGGCGTGTGTGCTCGGTAGCCAAGAGAAAAAATACCAAGTTTGGCTGGCATTGTGCTTTCTGGTTCTCCTGCCACTGTGTGCCCTAAGGGACTGGGCTTTTAAGGCTTCTCTGCCTCAGGCTGTGCCTCCTGTGGCTGGCTGCTCCCTGGCTTCACCGGGGCCCTAAGTGACGGCGTTTTGGTAGCAAATGGAGTTTTGTTGCAGGGATTTCTTGTGTCAAGGCAGGCCTATGTGGTTCTTGCTGAGCGAGACTGAGGTCTGCTTCAGTTTACTGGCTTGAAGCATTGCGTGGGATGTGTCCCAAAGGCTGCTTAATTCGAGGATCTTCTTCCTCCCTCATCCCTTGGAGGGCTGAGCAATCTCCTTTTGCTGTCAGCAGGTGGAGGCAGAACTGTGGTGAGAACCTTTCAGAAGCTCCCGTCACCAATGGGCCTTGAGCGGTGTAGAGCAAATGTTTCTCTTCTCTGGAGGCTTTTGGATCGTGGACTTCTCTTTGGCAGGTCTTCCTTGGCTGCATGGGGGCCTGGGGCTTTGGATGCAAAGGCAGGAGCTGTAGCAGCACTGGGGGCTGAACTTGCTCCTGCTGTTCAGGTAAATCCCCCTGCTTTTAGCTGCAGCTTTGGTTTGAAAAAGGCTGCCTTTTCTTACCAAAAGCTGGATCCAACTTCTGCAGGCCCTTTCTTGTCCTTTACAGAAGGAGAAGGGGGACTGTGACTGGGTTCCCCTGGCCCCAGCAGCTCTCCGTGCCACAGCAGAGCCGAGCACAAGTGAAAGTTGCCAGCTGGCTGTGGGAGCAGTAGCAGCAGCTCCCAGACTCTTCAGGTTGGGAAGGTGGGCCACTCTGGCTTCACTAAAATAATTTTTATCTCCCGCTGCGTTTATCTGCAGACATGATGTGGAAGATCTCTTGCCATCATCTCACGGTGATGACAGTGGAGGGAAAAAGCAAAGCGTCAAAGGCCTTTGGGAGATGAAACGGAGGTACAGCCAGAGCAGAAGATGGCATTAGACCTCAGGGTAGCAGTGGTTCTGGGACCTGGGGCTTCTCTTACAGTAAAGGTAAACTTGCATGAGGATGGGTAAGAGAAAGATGCCCCAGGGAACCTTGTGCTCTGGGCGAGGCAGGGTGAGTGCTCCCCAGCGTCTGGCAATGAACCTCTGAACCCCCATGGGCTTCCTCTGGGTTTGTGCTTGATGCAAGGGTGGTCAGGCCTTCGCCATTTTTCCTGTTTGCATGCAGCCCTGAGACCCGGTCGCTGGTGCTTGCTATATCAGTGTGACAGAAACATCACCGTGACCTTCTCTACACTGCGTTTAAAGCCAGGAACCAGGGTCCTGCGTCCTCCCTACCCAGAGTGCCCTGAGACACTCTTAGCCAGCCCCCCCAAATCTCCCTGTCATCCTTTTCCCTTTCCATTCCTGGGTAAATGTGGGTGTTATTGCCTTCCTCTGCTGGGATGAGCGGCACCTCGCTGCTGCTCTTGGATTTCCCTGGCCGGTTCAGGTCGGTGAGGGTGCGTAAGGTTTGCCCTGGCTGGGTTAGCACTCGTTGGCATCTGACATCATGGGAGGGAGAGAAGAAGGGCACTGGAGGCAGCTTGGTTTCCACAAGTGCCCAGAGGAAGGGGGTCCCGCCTCTGAGAGAGGAGAACCCCAACAGGTAGCAGCGATGCTTACCCAAAGGTCCTGTGCCTTCTAAGATGGTGTTACCCTTTTTCACATGGTGTTACCGTTTTACGGGACAAGGCATCAGCACGGAGAAGGAAACCAACTGGCTCTCGCAAAGCAGGAGCAGAGCTGGTGGTGTCTGTCCTGCTTGTGCTTTCACTGCCCATGCTGGAGTAGGTAGATCGGGGGTGAGAGCGGAGGTTTGCTGCCAGGAGAGCCAGAACAAAGTCCCATGGATGGATGGATGGATGGATGGATGGATGGATGCTTCAAGGAGGATGTGGCAGGCAGGCACCAGCGCCAGCAGCAGATCTGATGGACTGATTAGCAGGGCTGTCCTCCTGCCAGACTCCAAGCTGTGTCCCCATATCCCGTCCCTGATGGGTCAGTGGTGGGCTGCTGTCTCTGCTCAGCTGACTGTGAAGTTGCTCCGTGCTTTTCTGCTCCTGAGCTGTCTGGTGTTGAGCAGCTATATTTTGAATTGAGAGCTGCCTCCAGAAAGGTATATAATTTAATTTTATTTTTTTAAGGGTTCTACAGAGTCTGTATTGAAAATCCTGAGATGCCTGGTGTTGAGCAGCTATATTTTGAATTGAGAGCTGCCTCCAGAAAGGTATATAATTTAATTTTATTTTTTTAAGGGTTCTACAGAGTCTGTATTGAAAAGTAATACAAGAATCTTCGTTCTTTGCGAGGGAGAGCCGCCTCTCCTCGTTTTCTCCGGAGGTTTGGTGCTACCCTGTGCAGCATGGTCCGGCAGCCACGAGAGGGCACAGGCAGACCAGGCAGGGACCATCCTCCCTCACTGTCCACCCTGCGAGAACGGAGCATCTCCAGGGTCCCACCTCGCTTCTGCTCCTGCCTCCGTGAAGGCATCACACCCGGCTGACCTGTCTTCTGCAGCCTTCCTGGGCTGCTGGCAGTGGGAATTGGTGTCAGATGGGTGCCATTCTCCTTAG